GTTGAATTTTGTTATTGGTTGGCTGAATTTCATTTTTTTTATTACTTCTTTGTTAATTTACGTTTGAATTTTAGACAATAGGTGGTTTGTCAGTGGCTTCCGGTAGTAAGACGTATATGCTTGAGGATTAATAAAATACCAAAATACTTGTAGCAAAGCATAAAAGTAGTCATAACATCTTAGTTCGCGCGAAACGTTTCAAAAATAAGGCATCCATTAAAAATCTACAAGTCAAACAATTCTAATGGATTAGTTTTTAACGTTTTTAATTCTGGACACACACAATTTAAAAGAGAGGGTAATTAGAAATTAACAATAATAAAATAACGATATAACAATTTTTTTTTCAAATGCTTACTAAACGATATTTTGATTACGCGCGTTGCAGATGGAAAAAATTCTGATAGAAAAAAAGGGGCTATCAATAAACGTAAATTGAGAACTACAATTAAGTATGATATTATACACCCAATACGTTCTTGATTAAAAAAATATAAATCTCATGCCGATAACTCCAAGGCTTTGTTAGAAAAATAATGTTTTTCAACCTATGATTGTCAAATAATAATTTCTATAGTATAAATATCTTATGATTTTATAATGANCGTTCGATTGCGCTTAAATTTGATAAAGATTTCTCTTTACACTAGAAGGTTGTGGTTTGCATTTGGGGAAGTTTTGTCCGAGAAAAAAAATCCCTATCTGTATTTCAGTGACAATTTTTTGAATTTATGTTGTACAAAAGCATTTTAGTTTTTTTGCCTATAACAGAAAGAAATCGTAATTTCATTACACGAATGCTGCATCCTAACAATTTTAATCAATGAATATTGATTTAGCGTTAAATAAAAATTTTTCGACAGTATTGTATGATTTATACGAATTATAATTAAACTTTTTCATTAAAAGATAAATTAATTTATGCGTAATTTAATACGAATATTTCCAACTTCACTGCAAGGAAATTCACCTATCCTAAAGTGTAATGCGTAAATAGATGTTTATCGTAATTGAAAAAAGACCTAAGTAGAAAAACCCGTTTACGTTTATGTACAGTATACGCAGAAAATACGAGCGAAGGCTATATCTGTAAGGCCACCACCAAGTGACGTTACAACAAATCCATTCGCGCTAATTTGCATTGTACTGAAGTATAGTCTTTCTTGTACAATGATTCGTTAAATTTTCCTAGTCCATGACTTATATTAATACCAGAATTACCTGGTTTATCTGTGCAATGCATATCATAACGTTTAGTAAACAAGCGTTACGGTTCAACCGCGACGCGCCTCGATTCTTTTAATACCCGTGACGTCCTCAAAACATTTTCGAGGCTTCTTTACTAGCGCGAGACAGGTACATAATATATATAATCCTATGGGCACGCCTAGTCAACGAAATGGCCTTTTGTTCGTTATTATTCTCGGGGTTTTTTTCTTTTTGTTCTTCCCACACTCGAAGAATTGTACGATTGTTCGCGCGTCAGGATGATGGTGCGACTATCACAGATAGGTATACACCTATCCCATGTAATAGCCACGAGCAAACACCTCCTTTAAACACTTCGGTCCCTCGAAATGTCCTGTCAGTTACGTAATTAAACACTAGAGATGATTTTTCTTTCTTTCCAATTATTCACTTACCTTGATCGCACCGTTAGATTTGCTATCTTCCATCGGAACCATCATCATTATACCTACACTCGACGTCTTGATAATTGCCACAATTGACGACATTACACCATATGCATCACCTTTTTGTCGATCGCAAAAGGCAATTTCAAAAAGTTAATGTTCTCGGTATCAATTATACACGGCAATTCACACACATTACACTGTCACTACTTTCACCGGTCATTATTCACGCGTGTGGAACACTGGAAAAAAAGCACCTTCGTGTTCACTTGCAACTATTTTGTTCTTTCAGGTAAAGCGAATAAAGTCAAGTCTTAAGGACACAACAACAAACAGGATGACCGCAATGTTGAAGACAGTACTGTTCTTGGGGCTGGCGATGGTAGTTGCAGCCCAGGAAGTCGAAAGACGTTGGCCAGTTGGTGCCGAATGCGCGAAGCAGTCCGACTGCCCGCCGGGTTCTTGTTGCACCATAGGTGAGTGTGACTTACTAGGTTCGTCCAAACCCTTTTCGATTCGGTCCGGTTCTCTAAGCAAAAACCGGTTGTCCGGTTCCTTTTATGTATGGGTGATTCTGCTGTAACTTGCTCAGATCGTGTCCGGTACTCATACTCACGTGCCGTATAATCCATTCAACTTTTAGTCTCGAAAAAAATTTTTAAATAATTTTTAAGAGTTTATGCAAGACTTAAGAAAAAAATCCATAGGATTTTGTCATTACTCAATATTTTATGGTGCTTTTAATTTGGATTTCTTAACATACGCCACGGAAATATGTACACTTACCCCTATAACGCGCTCCACGTAATCCCACATCGTTATCCGCGAGCCCTTGACATTAAGTGTCCAACTAAACGCACTTTGTTGTAAAATTACTCATATGAATATTACAAAGTCGTCCTTCAATTTCCTTGTGAGTGAGACAAAAAACGGCCAGGCCCAAGTTGCGTACATATGGGCAGTACATACAAGTGGGAAGTCCAATGACGTGCAGATATGTCCCTCGGTTCCACCTTAGGAAACAATGCGAGCAGCGAATAATTTGATGGAAAAACGCTACTCTTGTTATTGAAACGCCATGTACTGTCATTATTATTAATTATTGCAATTAAGCGAAATCCAGATTTGGAAAGCAATGTTTATGGGTACTTTGTCATAAGACGTATATGTATATACTGTATTGCTGGTTACTCACATGGTGTGCAAAGACAAGTGATAAGGAGCCCGAGTGTCTGTGTTCTCCAGAAGCGTACTAATTGCAATAAATAAATTTTTTGTTTACCCATGCAGTGACACACGTACGGGGATATAACAACAACAAAATTCTGGCAGTGCCGGTTCGCGCACGAGATTCATCAAAATGTATATATAAAGAAAACGCGTGTCGCAACTGCAGTCAAACGCTCACTGGATTTCAACTGGTTAACAAGTGCAAGTAAGTTGAATTTTGTTATTGGTTGGCTGAATTTCATTTTTTTTATTACTTCTTTGTTAATTTACGTTTGAATTTTAGACAATAGGTGGTTTGTCAGTGATATTTAGTAACTTCTGGTTCNATACTTTGTAACAAGACATATCATATGTTTACCTGGTGTGCAAAAACAACTGATAAGGAGCCCGAGTGTCTGTGTTCTCCAGAAGCGTACTAATTGCAATAAATAAATTTTTTGTTTACCCATATAGTGATACACTTTTACGACGATGACAACAACCAAATTCGGATTCGCGCACGAGATTCATCAAAATGTATATATAAAGAAAACGCGTGTCGCAACTGCAGTCAAACGCTCACTGGATTTCAACTGGTTAACAAGTGCAAGTCTGTTGTGCGCGTATACTAAGTAAGTTGACTTTTTTTTTTGCCCGACTGAATTTCATTTTTTCGATACTATACATTAATAAATTGTTTGCCCATGTAAAAATACATAGAAATATACCGATATAATGTTTAAAAAGAATGTTGTATTATGTGTATTTGTACTTGAGTTTGAAGATTCGTTCGATTGCGCTTAAATTTGATAAAGATTTCTCTTTACACTAGAAGGTTGTGGTTTGCATTTGGGGAAGTTTTGTCCGAGAAAAAAAATCCCTATCTGTATTTCAGTGACAATTTTTTGAATTTATGTTGTACAAAAGCATTTTAGTTTTTTTGCCTATAACAGAAAGAAATCGTAATTTCATTACACGAATGCTGCATCCTAACAATTTTAATCAATGAATATTGATTTAGCGTTAAATAAAAATTTTTCGACAGTATTGTATGATTTATACGAATTATAATTAAACTTTTTCATTAAAAGATAAATTAATTTATGCGTAATTTAATACGAATATTTCCAACTTCACTGCAAGGAAATTCACCTATCCTAAAGTGTAATGCGTAAATAGATGTTTATCGTAATTGAAAAAAGACCTAAGTAGAAAAACCCGTTTACGTTTATGTACAGTATACGCAGAAAATACGAGCGAAGGCTATATCTGTAAGGCCACCACCAAGTGACGTTACAACAAATCCATTCGCGCTAATTTGCATTGTACTGAAGTATAGTCTTTCTTGTACAATGATTCGTTAAATTTTCCTAGTCCATGACTTATATTAATACCAGAATTACCTGGTTTATCTGTGCAATGCATATCATAACGTTTAGTAAACAAGCGTTACGGTTCAACCGCGACGCGCCTCGATTCTTTTAATACCCGTGACGTCCTCAAAACATTTTCGAGGCTTCTTTACTAGCGCGAGACAGGTACATAATATATATAATCCTATGGGCACGCCTAGTCAACGAAATGGCCTTTTGTTCGTTATTATTCTCGGGGTTTTTTTCTTTTTGTTCTTCCCACACTCGAAGAATTGTACGATTGTTCGCGCGTCAGGATGATGGTGCGACTATCACAGATAGGTATACACCTATCCCATGTAATAGCCACGAGCAAACACCTCCTTTGAACACTTCGGTCCCTCGAAATCTCGTATCTGCAGTGACGTAATTATAAACACTAGAGATGATTTTTCTTTCTTTCCAATTATTCACTTACCTTGATCGCACCGTTAGATTTGCTATCTTCCATCGGAACCATCATCATTATACCTACACTCGACGTCTTGATAATTGCCACAATTGACGACATTACACCATATGCATCACCTTTTTGTCGATCGCAAAAGGCAATTTAAAAAAGTTAATGTTCTCGGTATCAATTATACACGGCAATTCACACACATTACACTGTCACTACTTTCGCCGGTCATTATTCACGCGTGTGGAACACTGGAAAAAAACACCTTCCCTCGTGTTCACCTGCAACTATTTTGTTTCTTCAGGTAAAGCGAATAAAGTCAAGTCTTAAGGACACAACAACAAACAGGATGACCGCAATGTTGAAGACAGTACTGTTCTTGGGGCTGGCGATGGTAGTTGCAGCCCAGGAAGTCGAAAGACGTTGGCCAGTTGGTGCCGAATGCGCGAAGCAGTCCGACTGCCCGCCGGGTTCTTGTTGCACCATAGGTGAGTGTGACTTACTAGGTTCGTCCAAACCCTTTTCGATTCGGTCCGGTTCTCTAAGCAAAAACCGGTTGTCCGGTTCCTTTTATGTATGGGTGATTCTGCTGTAACTTGCTCAGATCGTGTCCGGTACTCATACTCACGTGCCGTAATGAAATCCAAAACTTTAAAAACGTTAAATTGTGTTAAATGTCGTCAACTTCACTTGACATTTTGTCTAATACCGATATATTAATTTCTTCATTGAGATAATCGATCATTTAGAGTCGAATTTTCCATTTCGACCCATGTCCACAACTCAATTTCACTCATAAATACTTTCACTGGTAAAAAATAAGGCTTATCTACTACTTGGCCGTGTAAGCATTATATACTCTAGCTATTGGTGATTAGATTTGTACCTTAGTCTCACCAAAAATGGACAAAAACGAGTGAGTTTTCACTGCATACATTTTGTCCTCATATTTGCCCCAAAATCGTGGTTTTAACAAAAATCAGTTCAAACTAGTAACTTTATGGACTGGAAATGCTAACCAATGGTCACTTTTTAAAGTATAGGACTAAAATGAATAAATCCTTACGACAGTAGTACCTGAAGTTATTACCTCCCGAATAGCCAAGCTCTTCTTTTTGCGTCTTCGCGCGTACAAACATTTCATTCCGTTCCGACCCCCCATGGAACAACCACTTAGTGTAAGTATGCAGGTACGCAAACTACAGTTTATTATTGCATTTGAGGCTAGTAAATGAAGTATGGGTGGACAAGTCATTGTAATACGTCTATGAGTCGTACGAGCACTACACACACTGAAAATTCCATTCCGAACTTTTCCATTCCGACCCTACCTCACCTCAAAGTGCCGTTTTTTTCGTTCTAGAGTATTCAATCCCAGCCAAACTTTTTTTTCATCATTATTGGGCTAAAAGACGAGACACGTGTCTCGGGGTTTCGTCCAATTGGCTTCTTTTCGCTACATAAATGTAAAAACGGTGGTGCTACTTCCAATGTAGGTAGCCAAGTGGAGCACTCCATTAGGTGGATTTATCTGGGCTTAAATGAAAGCAAATATATAGTCCTAATTATTAAAACAAAAATCTTTGAATTTTATGCCCCGAATGAAAAGTTATAGTGATTTTATGAAAAATACTGAATTTCAGCCAAAATCACATTATTAGCGATATTTACGCTCTAATTGAAACAGCTATAACTTTCGAATGAAAGCACAAAACCGAACAAAATTTTTTTCTATTCAATTAGTCTTGATCCCAGCTTTCATTTTAGCCCAGTAAGAACACTCTAACTGTTGAAGGAGCTTAGCTACATGTGTTAGAAATTTAAAGAGATACAATTATTCAAAAATCGATGAAAACTGACTTTTATAAAATTTCGTATAACTTTTGAACAGCAAATTTGGTAGTTGCATCGTTTTAGATATTTGTTACTAATGTTGTGTACAGTAAAAATATCATGAAAAAAAATTTTTTTTAACCAACTTTTTTTTAAACAATTGTTCAAGTCAATCTGAGCAAGTTACGGCAGAATTACATATATATACAAGCTTTTTTAAAAGTTCTTGTCTTATTGTAGCGTGCTAATAAATAAAATTTTAAAATTAAGCAATGTGTATCGATATATATATGTGGGTAGGTGTAAGGGTCTATAATGGTTAGTAAAGTTTTCGTTAGACTCTGAAAATATGGTATAAAGGCTGTAGAGGGTCATGAAAGACCTTGTAGAGATTGTAGAGGGTATGTAGCGGTCACTGGAGGGCTGTTGTAGACAAAATAGAAAAAAATCTAAATGAGAGAGAAACTGACGAAATTTTACCTTATTTTGTGTGGGATGAAAGGAAATCTATGGGGGG